GAAGTATTCAAAATTAATACTTTGCCCAGTTTTAAATGACCGTACTCAAAAAAAAAATTACTATACGAGTTTGGCACATTTAATAAGGATTCCAAAATGGTATAACACTTGCAAGATTATTTGTTAAATAATGGAAAAAAAATTTGCTCTCACACTTTTATTATTTTTAACAATTAAGCTCCGGAATAATTTCTAATACGAGTAACATTCTTTAATAATGTTTTCTTATATTTACGCGAACACTAAACATTGAACAAAACTATTTTTATGGATTTTATCGCGTTTAATTTACTTATTTTAATTCCCGAAGTTTCGGGTGCTTTCAAAACCCAAGCTCATTCGGCGTATATACTCGTATAGTAGTAATCAGTAATCAATACTGCAGTAAAAGTATTAACACCTAATACAATTTTAAGATTTCATGAAGTCAAATCTTATATTAAATTTGCATGAATAATACAGTGCAGCTGCCTACTACACTTACACTTTAAGATTAACATAAATTCTAAAGTCTATATGATCTACGTCTCCGCGACTTGTTAATTAGATAGAGTACTTCAAATTGTCATAGTGAATCAGCTACCAAAAGATTCACTTTAGGGGATATAAGACAAAATTAATTTCATCAAACTGTAGCGATATTGACTCTTCTTGACTTCTTGATAACTGGCTTTACGGCTCTGGGATCTAGCCCTTCTGAGCCTGAAGTTACAATATTGTATTATAATAATTATTCTTCATAGTATACTGCTTCACAATATGTTGATGCGTCACATTGTGCAGCCCTTGGGAGATTTTGACGGTAACTTGAGCCAGCAGACAGCTGACGGTTGGCGATAGTATCTCAAGGCGCCTAAGCAGACAGGCACCTTATTTTGAGAATCACATCACTATCAGAGCACTTGTTTCACAGTTTCTAATAATAGTTCACATACACAAAAACGCACCACTTTTATATATCAAAGTCCAATTCAAACCATTATTTAAACAATAAAACAGGAGCAACAAACCGCCGCCAGTCAAGTTCCCGCCAAAAACTCTAGCGATATTGAAATTTTTACATCTGACATCATCTCTCACAAAAGTTGCAACAGTTGAAACAGGTGCTAGAGTAGAACTCGTAGCTCTTGCTATATTGGGCAACGATTTTTAAAGTGATTATTATCGGAGTAAAGTTAGTTTAGGTTTGTTGGTTGGTTTAATTCGAACTAACTCTATCATACGCTTCCTATTTGGTACTTAATATTACGATTTTTTGTTAAACATTTTCTGAATCGATATTAGCGGCAAATTATATAATTTTACAATTATTATTTTATTTAATAAATAGGTCGGGGTAATAGTTTCTTCGTATATTGTTTGAATAAAATTGGAAAAACATGTCTTTGGTTGTACTAGTAGTACACAGTGTGCAATACTTAGTATACAGGACATTAAGAAAAAGAAAAATATAAAGTAAAAAACACTACCGTCATTTTTGAATTGTTTCTCTATCGGCTAAAATGAGTGAATCTAACGAAGAAATTCGATATATTCTGAAGTTTTATTAGAAAAAAGGAAAAATGAGACTCAAGCCACGAAAAAAATTTCGGACGTTTATAGACCCAACAGTGCGTCAGTAAGAGTAGCACAAAGTTGGTTCAAGCGTTTTCAGTCCGGGAATTTTGATGTCAAAGATACAACTAGCTCTTTTGCCCTCATATGGATAAAGTCGCTGCCATTTTTTAAAAAGTGGAGCAAAATCGGCATACTAGTAGTTGCAACATAGCTGAGGACTTGAGGATTGACCACAAAACAGTTTTGGCCCTTTTGAAAAGGTCTGGCTATACAAAAAACTCGATAGTTGTGTATTCATTTGCAATTCTCGGTTGAAACTTAATGAAACCAAATAGTTATTAAAAGATTGATCACTAGTGATGAAAAGTAGATCACCTACGACAAGACCGCGCGAAAAAGATCATGGTCAAAGGTAGTCAAGCTCCACAGAATGTAGCGAAATCTGTGTGTATTGTGGGATTTTAACGACATCGTTTATTATGAGCTTTTACCGCCTGGCAAACCATCGAATCGGATCTCTACTGCCAACAACTAATAAGACTCAAGAAAATCATTGAGAAAAATCGACCGAAATTGATCAATAGAAAAGGAGTGGTCTTTCGTCATGATAAAGCCAGACCACACACATTTTTGGCCACTTAGGAAAAATTGAGAGAGTTTGGTTGACAAGTGTTAATGCATCCACCATATAGTCCTTACCTTGCACCCTCAGATTTTCACCTGTTCAGAATTCTTTGGGTAGTGTTAGGTTAACATCAAAAAGGAATGTCAAAATTATCTGTTGCATTTTTTGATCAAAAATCCCAAGATTTCTACAGCAACGGGATTGTCACTACCTACAAGATGGCAACAAGCCATCTAACAAAATGGCACTTATATAATTATAATTAACTTTGAAAAAAAAATAAGAGTACAATTTGCCACTATGTCTGGCGTATGTGGACTATGAGAAAGCCTTTGATTCTGTCGAAATTTGGGCGGTGCTGCAGTCCCTTCAGCGGTGCCAAGTTGACTGTCGGTATATCGAAGTGTTGAAGTGCTTGTACAGTAGGGCTACGATGGCTATCCGAGTACAGAACCAGAGTACGAAACCTATCCAATTGCAGAGAGGTGTAAGACAGGGTGACGTCATATCCCCGAAACTCTTCACCGCTGCATTGGAAGACGTTTTCAAGCTTCTGGACTAGAAAGGGTACGGTATCAACATCAATGGCGAGTACATCACTCACCTTCGATTTGCCGACGATATAGTCCTTATGGCAGAATCGCTGGAGGGCCTAAGCACTATGCTCAATGACCTCAATAGTGTTTCCCAACGGATAGGTCTTAAGATGAACATGGACAAAACAAAGATTATGTTTAATGTCCATGTCACACCTATGCCGGTAGTTGTTGGGAGCACTAAGCTCGAAGTTGTTGACGAGTATGTTTACCTGGGACAAATAATCCGACTAGGTAAGTCCAACTTCGACCGAGAGGTCAATCGACGGATTCAACTCGGCTGGGCAGCGTTCGGGAAGCTACGACACATCTTCTCGTCAGACATACCTCAAAACCTTAAAACGAAATTGTACAACCAGTGCGTGTTGCCAGTGATGACTTACGGAACTGAGACGTGTTCCTTCACTGCTGGCCGTATGAGGAAGCACAAGGTCGCTCAGCGAGCTATGGAGAGGGCTATGCTCGGAGTTTCTCTGCGTGATAAACTTAGGAATGAGGATATCCGCAGTAGAACCAGAATAACCGACATAGCCCAACGAATTAGTAAACTGAAGTGGCAGTGGGCCGGCCATATAGCTCGAAGAACCGACAACCGATGGGGAAGAAAGGTTCTCGAGTGGCAGCCTCGTACCGGTAGGCGAAGTGTAGGGCGTCCCCCCACGAGATGGAGTGACGACCTGGTAAGACATGCAGGAAGTCGATGGATGCAGGTGGCTCAGGACCGTGCTTTGTCGCATTCTTTGGGGGAGGCCTATGTTCAGCAGTGGACTTGTGAAGGGCTGTAATGATGATGAATGATTGAAAAAAAAATATCTTGAATTTGTATGCCACTAAACATTAAATCGGTTCAACTCGTCTGTGCAGTGTTCGGAAGAAAAGGACATAATATCTCCTTACCTTTTTGTCAAAGCTTGAAAACAAAATTTTACAACCAGTTCGTGTTACCGCTGGCCGTATTAGGAAACTCAAACTCTATGATAATGAGGGATAAAAGTTTCTCGGGTATAATTATATAATTAAAGCAGCCTCGCATTGTTACGTGAAGCGTAAAGCGACTCCTCACTAGACGGAGTGGTGTTCTCGTAAGCGATGCAGAACGTGGATGTGCGTGGGTAGCTCAGGCTTGCTTTAGACGTAATTAGTAAATAATGCAATGAAAGCTTATAATAATAAAAGGGCTTAATGTTTGTACATAGATTTAATATTACTACAACGTATTTATTTTTCGTTAAAAGTATTTGTGCTACAATTACCTAAAACATTAATCATGTTTTGTGTACATATTTTGAAATATCATCCAATATTTGGGGGCAGCACACCTCGGGGGAAGCCAGTTAACCAAGCTGGCTAATATAAGTTGGTTCCTCTCAGCGTCATGAGACTTATTACGTGGTAGAGCCATGTTGCGGCTTTATTACTGGTATAGTTGTAGCACGAATGGGTTTGCTCGACCGGGGAAGGACCACGCTCTCGCAGAATACCAGTGTAAAATAGCAGCTTAACGCTGCTGTGTTTCGTATGGTGAGTGTAGAGAACCGGGGACCCTTTTTACTGGAAACGAGGCATTCAATCTTAGTCCTCACGGGTGATAACGCATTTGCATTTTGATTCGTAATCGAGGATAGATGTAGATGTCTATGGGCCACAGCAACCACTTACCATCAGGTGGAGTGTGTGCTCGTTTGTTACCCTTATCCTATAAAAAAATAGCAATTTTTACATAAATTCTCGCTTACCTGTCTCTTTTTATTGTCATTTAGTGAGAAGAGACAGAGAGAAAGAGAGCAACTTTACGATTTTTTTAACTGACGTCGCCTTTTACGACTAAGGCCAATATAATATTAATGTACATTTGGTCCATGCCGTGATGTTATTCTATTTTGTAGCTACGAATAAATAAACAAATAATTATGCAGAGGGAGTTATAGAAAATTGGTTAAGATACGCTATAATTATTTCTTCTATATACGATACGAAGAATATCACTATCCACACAGAGATCCTTAAAAAAATTGTAAAATTAGATACTACAGACACTAAACCGTTAAATACATTTCGACTTTAAAATATTAGAACTATTGCAACAAATTATATTTGAAAATTTAAAATGCCTAAATTAAAGTAAAGATCAGCGTTGGTGGGGCCAATATTATTTTCCTAAACTCTTTATCGTTATACCACATGTAAATTGCATATACAGTACACATGCGTTTAACACTTACCATGGCTGACGCAGCCCAGCATCAAAATCCCAATAAGTTGAGCCAACATCGTGCTAGCCTTACTGCACTGCGGTTGCCGCTGTAGGAACATTGTCCGGTCTGCGTCGCTTCATTTGTCTTGATATAACGATGCACTGTGAACTATCACTTCACGAACACATTTGCAGTTGTTCTTTTTTATATAATTCACTTAATTTTTAATTGAAAAACACGCTCACAACACTAACACTTGCCAGGGAAAGCCGCTGAGATCTGAAAGAATCAAATTTAAGGTATTAACAATTTTGAACGTTTGTAACATATGCACGTCTGTAATATAATACGAAACTCGAATATAAATAATAATATTTTTCACGTGATAGAGCCATGTGGCAGCTATATTAGTAGCATAGTTGTAACACGAATGGGTCGGCTCGACCGGGGAAGGACCACGTTCTCACAGAATACCAGCGTAAAATATGAGTTTCGTATCGAGAGTCTAGAGAACCGGAGACCCATTTTACTGGATAAGAGGCATTCCATCTTAGTCCTCACGGGTAACGACATTTCTGCATGTTGAGTCTTTATTGAGGATAGATGTAGATGTCTATGGGTCACAGCAACCACTTACCACCAGGTGGAATGTGTGCTTGATTTTCACCCTATCCTATAAAAAAATAGTAATAAGAATAAGTGAATTTCGTTATCGTTTTACGTGGTAGAGCCATGCTGCAGCTATATTATGGTTATAGCACGAATGGGTCGGCTCGACCGGGGAAGGACCACGCTCTCACAGAAAACCAGCGTAAAATAGCAGCTTAATGCTGCTGTGTTTCGTATGGTGAGTGTAGAGAACCGGAGACCCTTTTTACTGGCAAAGAGGCGTTTCATCTTAGTCCTCACGGGTGACAACGCATCTGCATCTTGAGTCTTTATTGAGGATAGAAGATATAGATGTCTATGGGTTACAGTAACCACTTACCATCAGGTGGACTGTGTGCTCGTTTGTCACCCGATCCTATAAAAAAATCGTTTTAAAACATGTTGATAGCATTTTTAATTTTAACTTTAAAGTGTCATAAGTGAGGATATTTCGAAACAGTATTAATGTGCTATAACACATAAGTCAGGCCGATATCCAATCAGCCAGATCCAATCAATACAAGGCCGCTAAGCTTAAAGCAGGTACATATTCAATTGACATGTAAATGAATGAATTAATACGTGCGATGCCCGCATAAAATACGGACGGAATTAATTTTATTCAAATGTAAAACTCACATAGTTGGTATTCATAATAAAATTCATCTGAAATTATGGATTAATTCGATAGAAAACTTTCTATGATTGTATCTTACCACTTTACGACCTTAACTGATTTACCGTTTTTCATAATTATTTCCTTTTATTCTATCTATAAAACTGTGCTAACAATACTATTGAAATAAATCTTCGATGTCAAACGAACGATTTGCATCATAGCTCAAACACCTGCGAATGTTGTTTTATCTTTATATTATTTCCTTTGATAATTCACGTACGGTTCAATTCTCCATGCTAGAATATTTTACTTTTATTCACTAGGTAGTAGGAGCCATTTTGTACTAAAAATCTACCTATGTTAGTACCATAAGCTTATCTTTCTCTGTCACTGACTAATATGGCAGCCTGTGTCGTCCTCACGCAAAAGAGCTGGTTTAACTGTACGCTGTTGAGCATTTCGTCTAAGTACTTGCGGTGACAATGTATATCTGGTCTTCATTGTTTGAAATTGGTTGAAAGTGTCCAAATCTACAGCGGCCATTTAGCATCAGGTGTACTGTTAACTCCGATATCACTCCATTGTCATAGAAAATGTGATTAAAATGCGATACGTGGAGAAACCATACAGCAGCTTTATTATAAGGAGAAAAAACGCTTTCTTACAGATACCAGCATAAAATAGCAGCTAAATTGCGCTGATGTGTTTCGTATGATAAGTATAGAGAACAAGAGATCTTTTTTAGTGGAAAAGAGTTCCAGTAAAAGTGGTCTCCGCTTCCATTCCATGTTTGTCCTCAACGCACTTGCATTTTGATTCTCAATCAAGAATAGATGTAGATAGATATCCATCAGATAGACTGTATGCTTATTTATCACCATTATACTATAAAAAAACGTTACCTTTATTAATTTTGTTAGAAGAATAATATTGTAAAATTTGGACATTTGGTGTTATTTTAAGGTCAAGCCTTAGACAGCGTCTGGTGGAGTGTACAGTATGGCGTCCTGACAACCATACTTTTGTAGTGCAATGTTCTGATTCTGAGTAACGATTATTAAGTACCCTCTTATACTCTAAATACATATATAATTAAAATTGCGATGTCTATCTGTAATATCGAAATAACTGCCTTATATTGAGCTGAAAGGGTTATTTGCACACCATGTGTCTTAATGACATGCAAATATAGAGTCAGTGCCGCCCTTGTAGGCATCCTAATCCCGCGCGTTATAAAGTAACATTTTATACCGCGGAATGTGGTTGCCGCATATACATAATATTGTTTACATTTTGATTTGTATAAGGAATAATATATATTTAGTCACAGAAAGTTACTGCAGAATCAGATCCTTCTTTGAACCGATTTCGATGATTCTTTTTTTATTTGTAAGCTGGTGCTTATCATGCCGTCCTATACAAATTTGATTAATATCTGACCAGTAGTTTTTGAGTTATCCTTAATAATGAGTATTTAATTGACTTCGACTAAATTGATGATGTTCTTATTTTATTTATATTGAAGTCGGTTTTACAAAATATTTTATTTTACCACTTGTTAAGTCCCAAAAATGTTAGTTTAATTTGTAAAATTCGTATTGAAATGGGTAACTTAAGTGTAAGCTTAATGAGCGATTTAGGGGTAACCTAGCCTTAAAATGTATGCTAATTGCACTGCTTCTCCCCACGCTTCGCCAAACACTATAGGTACAGATGTCTTACGATCAAATTTTCTTTTACCTTTAATTTTTTTTAATCTTGTTGAGCAATTAAAACAAATAGAAAACTTGGCTTTCCCGCCAAATTACAGTGTTTATATGAATACACTAGCTGTTGCCCGCGACTTCGCCCGCATGTTTTTTGGGGTTTTAATTTTTTTGCGCGGAACCCTAAGTATTTTTCTAAAATAAAAGTAGCTTAATATGTTACCTTGTGACATCAGCTATCTGCCAGTGGAAATCCCGTCAAATCGGTTCAGCCGTTTCGGAGATTAGCCGGAACAAACAGACAGATGGACAGACAGACAGACAGACAAAAACTTTAAAAATTGTATTTTTGTTATTAGTAGGTACCGTATATACTTTCATATGCATTTAGTAAAAAGCTGTAATTTTGACATTACAAACAGACGCTTTTATTTTATTTATTTGCATAGATTAAAGTGTAGAATATGACATAGTAATTCTACGTGCTGTTTCCTTTAGATGTCACCTACTAGCCTTGTTTGTAGAAAATATCGTAAGGGCAATACATTTTAGTCTAGAATGCAGACATTTAAATGAACGAATAAATCGTACCGCATGTCATGTCAGATCTAGTTTTGTTGTATCCATTAAATTACACAATGTAGGCTACAGAAATACGATTCAAAAGTTTTTTCAATTTTATTGTCAAGTCATTGCCTAGGCCAATGCTACATACTAGTGGTCGCCTAGCGGTCTAAATTCGATCGTAATTCAATAAAATTTTGATTTTGTATATTAAGCAAGCTGTATTTTACTTACAACATAGATATTTCAACAACAATATATAAAATTAACGCATTTCTGGCCTTGACATACACTCCACAGACTATTGAAAAAGGAACATTTGAATGCATACAAAATTAAATGGTCATTATTTGTTGCCAGTATTTTAAAATTCTTAGGTGACTATCTCTACTAACTTTGCGACTGTTTGACCACAGACTTGTAAGTGTTTGACATTTGTAGTACAATTAATTCTCTACTTTATTTAATTTAATGCCCCTTCTCCATATAAACAAATCTCACACTCCTCCGTGATCGCAATATGCTTAAAAAGGGGTATATAGTGTTCCCTTCACGTATTATTATTATCATTGAGTTATAATAGTACATTATAACTCAATGATTATTCTAAATTATATTTCAGTGAAGTTTATTTTGATATGTCTTAATTTATTGACACTATTATTTCTTGAATTATTAGAAGGATTGTTATTATATCTCGTATTAAGTTTATGGAAATTATATCTAAATCTTGTATTAAATATCTGTAATAAAATATTACTGTAACATTTTTGTTGCTAATTTTTTTTATCCTTTTGCGTCTACTATAATATTTCACTACGCCTGGAGTTGAATAGGAGAGGATGTCAAAAGGCATTAAGTCCGCCCTTTGTAACCCTTTTATTTACGGTGACAACAACATAGCATAAATGAATAAATAAGTGAAGCTTCTTACAGATGTGTGACGAGAAGTACAGAGTAAATATTATATCAATACTAACAAAAGAATATTAACTGTAGTTATTAATCTTATACTGAAGAGGATGAAGAAGAAGAAGAAGAAGAACTTATACTGAAGCCTTTAAAGAAGATTTACTGCCATTATGTATGCAGTTTAAAAGATAGCTCTTTAAATTAATATAGATACAAGATTGGTTTGTTTAAGCTATTTTTGGGGATAAGAAACTGATATTGAAGATAAATTTATTTCTTAATAAAAAAATTAAAAACAAATCTAAGCTATGCTCATGCGACAATATTTCATGAAGAATACTGTATAAGATAGAGGCATAAGTACAAAATCAAAAATACGAGGCAAAAAAAATATAAACAAGAATCTAAATCAAGGATTTGTGCTTTTGCACGGTAATAGTAGTGGATGTTACGAACAAAATCCTAGAGCCGAGGACATAAGCCGGCGCGGCGTAAGTGACGTTCACAGTACGCGAGCAACCAGGGCTCGATTTTCGCCGTCACCAATAAATTGTTTACAATTTTAAGTGGCAATTTTACACGGGCTAAGCAGTTAAGGATTGTGAATAAACCTGCATGTCTGTCAAGACGTGTGAAGTCCACCAACACATTAGGTCAGTGTGGCAGACA